GAATAGAAAACACCTTCCTTCGACAAACGAACGGAAGAACCTGCTCAGCCAACTTGAAGAGAACCGCTCCGACCTTTGACACACAAAACGCGAGCTTCTCCTATTCACAAGACCAGGCAAGAGCACTCTATCACTTTGAGAACTTCCTCAGACAAACTGTATTCTCAAAATGGCATAGATCCTTTTCACTCATAGAGAGCTTCCCTTAGGCACAAAGCTCTAATACTCTCAATTGAAAAGTTATTTCTAAGAGCTGTGAAGACCTCTATTTATAAGCCTAGTTTCGTGCAAGGTCAAAAACTAAAAAAACATCTCCCAACTGCCACTGATAATCGATTATCATAAGTGATAATCGATTATTTGTGTCCGTTATGGGGTTTTCAAAATGGTGATAATCGATTATCCTGAGCAATAATCGATTATTCCAGAGACTTGGACAGAATTAAATAAAACAGTGATAATCGATTATTCTGTGTAATAATCGATTATTTGCGCAAGCAACTCTCTTCTAAACTGGCTTGTGATAATCGATTATTACTCTTGATAATCGATTATTTGTGCAATGACTCACTAAATATGAAAACTTCTAAGAGTTTTTACATCATTACATTTTATCCTATACATTTATTTCTACAAAATGCGTTTAACAAATATGCATTTAGAGTCTTCAATTCTTCAGCTTTTATCATCATCAAAATTTCATTGTAGCTTCAAGATACCAATGCTCCTCATTGGTAACAGTGGCGACTCAAGGCTTAGATGCGTCCTTGGCAAAGGTATATTTGTAAACCTTTCCACCCCTCAAACGTTTTCTTCTTCCTGCATTTCAAACTTTATACACCAAACACAGCCAAACGGGAATTTCTGAAGTCAGATCCAACAACAATTTCATATTTCTACAAGTTGCAAAGAATCAAGAGATAATGGTGGTGGTATATTGAGCGTTATATCTTTACTTGGAAGTTTAGGTGGTGAAAGAACTTCAAATATTATTGGTAAGAAATGGACAATGGCCATAACTACAATGATTTTTCAAATGGGTTCACTAATAATGACTTTGCATCTTCATTTTCATTTCTAGTGGTTGGAAGATTTTTGCTAGTGTTGGAATAGGATTTGAAGGAGGAGTGCAAAGCGCAAGAAATCGCCGTCGAAGAACGCCACCCAAAGACACGAGAATAACTGCACCAAAACCCAACGAAAACACATTTTAATCGGTTCAAATGAAAGATAATGCATCAAAGAGTGATGTAATCGGAGTAAAATTAATTTAAAATGGTGCAAAAGTGAGAAAACAAACCTGAAAAGCGTAACCCGTAGAGAGAAAACACGACGAAGATGATGAACAATGAGTGCGCGTAACGGCTGTCTCACATTCGCAGTGTTTTAATGCCGACATTTAGAAGTAAGTTCCTCCATAACAAACGTCTAAAGGGCTTTAGAAGTCGGCTACCCCCATAATAGACATCTAAATGGAGTCAAAAAGTGATTTTTTAAATTCTTGGGCTGCGTATTTAGACGTCGGTTCTGATAATGGTTGAAAAACCGTTATTTTTATACTTAATTTTGATATCAAAAACACCCTTTATGACTTAGAAACTAGATTGAAATCATGCTTTTGATTAAGTTGTGAGAATAAGAGAGTTGGATGAGTTTTATGCTTATTTTTCCTTGTTTTGACAAGAATTAAGATGAATTGGATGAAGAAGTTGAAGTAGCAAGGATCTGGAGTCATGAAAGGCTGGAAAAGTGGCACATAAAAGAACCACTGTTTCACGCCTGGGCGCCACCGCTGAGCGCCAACTTAGTTTTGAGAGCATTGTTTCACGCTTGGGCGCCATCGCTGAGTGCCGCAACTACCGTTGAGCGCCCTTTTTGGGTGCTGAGCACTAACGACGTGGGCTCAGGCTATTTTTCTGTATTTTTAATAAACTATTTAAGGTTTTGGGAGTTCTAGGGTTCAGATCTTTGGATAGAAAGAGGCAAAAATAGACTCCTTTCACCCCTTAGAGGCGAATTTTAGA